TCCAATTCTCAGGTTCTCTAGAAACATGTTAGCTTTGACAGGCTCTAAGCAGGCATTCAGGGACAACCAGGATGAGATTCAGACATGTTTCCTGAGACGTATCATTTGCCCTCAGACAGGCTTGGAATGAAGCTCAATTTTGTAATTGTTCTGAGTTAAATTTTAAAATCAGTGACCTTAGAGCTGTCAAAAGTATTACTGTATCACAGGCATTTGCCATGATTTCTGCAAAACCTCTTTGTCATCAACAGCAAGAGCCATTAACTATAAATGTTGCTCCTCTATGAGACAAATTTTCTGAGCAAAGGATCAGCCTTCCACTTGCTAGAGCACAACAAAGAGAAAATAAATATCAAAGGAGCCATGTATTGTCAAGGCTATTTAAACTAATGGCTTAAAGGAGCAGAGGATATGTGGCAATGTGGCACGTGACTGTCTTGTATGGTCATGAATTCAACTGACACCTTTAAGACAAGAAAAGCAGAAGCCTTACTCCAAATTCAAAGGATGTCCAAGCCCACAGATAACTTTAAACCTCTATCTGGCAGACACAATTCTGCTATTTGGCAACAAGCAGCATGCCTTTACAATTTATGCTGGTCCTCCAATCCCTAGAGGACATGCTAAATGAATGATCAGCACATCTCTGCACATGGATCTGCCCTCAAGCTAATTCTCATTCTGGTTAAGATATGTGAATAATGCAGCATGAATCCTTCAGGAAAACGGATCAAAACACTGTCTTATATGTATAAGCCCATTCTGTCCCCACTCCTCTGCCTGTGGCCATCCTGTTCAGACTAATTATATCCTCAATCACTTCTGTATGATTTTCAGTATAACCAGAAAGTTTGGAAGCTGCACAACACACTCCAGGCTGTTGTGGGATGTCCTATATCCCACACTAACAAAGTTCAACCCTTTTGAAATAAAACACAGAAACCCACTTGGATAAGGAAAGTTATCTTGTACTTCAAGAGGGTGAACTGACATCAACCCAATTGCTTATTAGGGAAAAAAAGCAGCTCAACAAAGACTACCATATGAATGACACTGTTCTCAATTCCCTAGGACTGTGTGGAATTGCCCCCAGGTGATTCACAGAATCATAGAATGGTTTGGTTGGAAGGGACCTTAAAGATCATCCGTTCGAACATCCCTGCCACGGGGAGAGACACCTTCCACTCAACCAGGTTGCTCAGGGTCCCATCCAACCCGGCTTTGAACACTTCCAGGGATGGGGCAGCTACAACTGCTCTGGGCAACCTGTTCCAGTGCCTCACCACCCCCACAGTAAAGATTTTTTTTCTAATACAGACCTACTCTTTTTCAGTCTGAAACCATTCCCCCTTGTCCTGTCACCTCATGCTCTTTCAAGGAGGTCTGATTATTTACAACACAGGCAGGCTATTCAGCACTGTTTTGACAGTGCACAGGGTACACACCACCAATAAAGCAGATTTTCCAAAAAGGGAGAAAAAGAGTGAATGTTAGCCCCATATAAAACAACCCAGCTAATGATTATCAAAAGTAGCTACTGATTCTGTAGCCTCTCCTTTTCAACCCCTGCTCATTCCATCCAATAGATGTCGGTGGGAGCACAATTGTAACAAAAGCACGAGATTTTCAGAATCAGGACATGCATCATGAACAACAATGACACTCACAATGGGTCTCTCAGCAGCTGCCAAGCAGCATTTTCTGAAAAGCACCACTGAAAAGCAAGTTTCACTCTGGATATGCAAACCTAGCAAACAATACCTAAATAGGTGAGAGAGGACATGGGAGCAAGCTGCAGCACCTACTTTGCACAGCAGTAGCAATAAACATGTTAGTCATTATTTTTGTGTTTATGCCCTGTCCAAACATCTACCAGTTAAAAACCCCAAGAGCTTTGGGTGCTCTTCAGAGAAGAACTGGGCTAGCAGGTTGATGTTTCCACCCTGTCTTTTCTGTCATTAGATTAAAAACAAAATAAAAACAAATTAACAAACAAAAAAGACACATAAAAAAAATAAAGAAAATATGTCCTGTGAATAGTATAGGGCTCAATCTGTAGAAATGAATGTAACATCAAGCCATCCTCCAGAGATGGGAACTTGAAAGCACCAAGCATCACCAGCAACCAGTCAGAGCCACAGCAGACACCATGCAGCAATTTCAGGAGAACTAATCTTCCAGCTGCCAACCAGAATGACAGAACAAGAACTGAACTGGTTTAATTCACATGGGAATCTCACCTGGGAATCAATGGACTAAAGACACAGCAGCAGACTAAAGACACAGCAAAAGCTTCAAAAGCTGTCATAACCGGGGATGTTCTCACTTCCTAAGAAATAATCACTCTGATTTCAGTCACAAGGTAGCACAGCTGATTTTAGCACCTTTGTGTGCCCAGAAAATCTGGGCACAAACCAGCCAGAGAGAGAAAAGATGGGATCACAAAGGCTTCTGGCATCAGCATTACAGGATTTGTCTTTGTGCTACCTTTATTTTCAGGAAACCACAATGGGGAAAAATAATGTTGAAGGCAGATCTTACTCCTGAAGAGTCACCAACTTAAAAGTTTGTCTTTCTCCATAACTTCCACCAGTAAACATAGGATAGCATGAGTGGATTAAAGGAATGCTTTTTTCAAGCATTAATGATAGTTAGCTGTTTTCCATTAGAGAATCATAGAATCATAGAATAGATTGGGTTGGAAAAGACCTCCAAGATCATCAAGTCCAACCCCTGATCCAACTCCAATTACTATATCCTGGCACTAAGGGTCACATCCAATCTCTTTTTAAAAACCTCCAGGGATGGTGAATCCACCACCTCTCTGGGTAGGCCGTTGGCATATACTGAAGTTGGCATATATTGAGGGCCTAGTTGCACAACAAGTGACAATTCCGCAATAAAATCCCTAAGTGACATTCACATTAGCTCCTTCTGAACACAACTGGAAAAAAACACCTCCTTCATGCTGTTGTATTACCCACAGAACTGAAAGATATTTGAGGTTGCAGAAGCTATTAAGAAGAAAAATTAGAGCACTAGAAAATAGGCTAATCAGTTCAGCATACTATTGGACAGAACTAATAATTATGGAAATTTTTGCCAATTTAAAAAAAAAACTCAAAACAACAAAGTACAACGGTAGGCAGAGTCCTACCACTGAACAAAGAGGCACAAATCAAAATCAAGGTTTTTCATGATGACCACAGCTGTCAAAGAAAATTCAGATACAGTATCAAAAAAAAAAAAAGGTATGAAGCAACTGCAAATTCAAAAGTCTTCTTCTGCTACTGAACTCTCTCAATCCAGTCAAAATATGTCTCCAATTACAGACCCACAGACCAAGCACATCTGTAACTGAACAGATGTGACTCCATGGCTTAGGAATTAAGTATACTGTTCTCCACCAGGTCCTTCTCTCCTCTGATATCTCATCAATCAGGAAAAAAAACATATGATCTTTCTTGTGTATGTTGAAACAGGTTAATAAGCACCAATGACTAGCCAATAAGTCTATATAGAAACAAGTTCACATGCGCCATCAAAGGAGAAATAGCACTAAATATCATTCTTGTTACACGTTGGTTTAGCATGTTTTTCAGCATCACTGGTTTTCCAGCCAGAGTGGGCATAAGCCAACACTGAAATACGCCACGTGAGAGCTAGCAATAAAAACTGGAGGAGAGGAAGGAATACAAATAAATAAGGGAGAGTAGTAGAGAGCTGTTGTCATAGCTCCCAGTACTTGACAGATCCCTAGCTGATGTAAATTTTGTCCTTTTTCCTCTCCTGAGTCAATGCTCGAAAGAAGATTCTCCTCCTGTACAGCACATTCAAAGTTACCTGTGGACAGATGCATAAAGGCCTTCCCCTAAGGTCTTACCAGTCTTTATTTTTAGAAGTAGTCAACCCAAAAATCAGACCCGAGAGCAGTGAGATGACTTAAAAAAGAGTGAGGCCACAGCAATGTCCTCAAACTACACAGGATCCTGAAATTCAAGGGCTGAGGGGAATCACACGAAGTAGCCTCCACCTCAGAGGTAACCCCTTCTGCAGTAACTTGTCTAGAAACCTTCCTTCCCAAATCAAGCACAAAAGGCCATTGTATTCAAACGACAGTTTTTTTAAACACACTTGGTGGTCTGCCCGAATAGAAACAGGCAGAAATCTGTACACAAAGCCATGATCTCTCTTTTCTCTCACCATACCCACCTCATTTGCAGCAAGGGGGATGTCAGCTGGAATCCCTGCTCTGTCCCAGGTGCCTTCAAGCCCCACAAAAGACCACATAGTATGCAACACGAATGCTGTTACTCTGACACATTTTTCAAGTACACACCTACATGGAGCCTGAGAACTACTGTACATTCTCAGAGCCTGGAAACCTCATCTCACTACCTGCAAGCTGTCAATGACCGCTGATCAAAACGCCTGCATTTCTCTCCTTTCCGAATCACCGGGGTTTTCCAAAGATGCGGAAAGACTCCGGTGGCGGGAGGTCGCTCAAAGCACCCAGACCTCACAGAGACATCGCACGCGGTGACATTTTAGCATCTCTGCTCCAAAGCCTCTCTCCCCGCATGCGGCGCGTCCATCACGCCCTGTCGCCGCCGCAGCCCCCTCCCTCACCGCAGCCCAGCTGCACGGCCCCGCCGCAGAGGGGGGCACAGCCGGCGGCCACCGACCCCCTTCCCGAAGGGTGTTCCCAGCGGTGTTCCCACGGGGAGTCCCCTGGAGAAGGGAGGGCGAGGGGCCAGCTGGCACCTGCCGCGAGAAAAGGGCCCCCCACCCTCGAGAGGAGCAGCGCACTCCGCCGCGATGCTTCCGCTCCGCTTCCGCCACCCCCGACACCGACCCACCGCATCCCGCATCCCGCATCCCGGCCCGCTCTGCAGCGCGGAGCGGGAAAGCCGCCGCTTCGCCTCGCCCCGGCTCCTGCGGCCCCCCGCAGCCCCCTCGGCCCCGCACGGGCAACCCCCGCGCCCCCCGGCCCCGCTCACCCCGCGCTGCGGCGGCCCCGCTACGGGCGGCGGTGTCCGGGCGGGCGGGCGGGCAGCGCCCGCCGGCCGGGCATCGTGGTCCGCCCTCCGCCGCGGCGGGGAGGGCCGGCTCCGGGATTCCCTCTCTGCGCCGCCCGCTTCCTCTGCTCCCTCGTCCTCCTCGCCCCCCTTCCCGCCCTGATTCTCCCCAGTGCTGCCCGCAGGAGAAGCTGGCGCGGCTCCTTCTCAACCGCCCGCCTCTCCTCCTCTGCTTCCCCGGACCCCGGACCCGGCTCCAGCCCCCTCCCGGCGGCGGGGCGGAGGGAGGGGACTGGGGCCGGCCGGGAGGGGCGGGCGGAATGCAGGGGAGGGGGGAGCGGGACCCTCCGAACTGCCGCGGTTCCCCCCTTCACCCCCGGCCCCTTCTCCCGGGCTGTCCCCTCCCTTGGGGCTGGAGCCAGGTCCCCTCCCTGGGGGCTGGGGCCGGGTCCGCCGCCCGGGGACATCGCTACCTGCAGTCAGCAGTGCCCAACGGGAGCTGGAGGGTCTCCCGGCTGCTCCAGCGGCGGTCCCACCGCGGGCATCACGCTGCTCCTACGGCTTCGCCCTGCGGCATCACCGCGGGCGGGACTGCACCCCCCGAAAAGGGAGGTGGCAGAGAATCAACCAAGGGATAGAAGGATGGGGTCTGGGTGACCTGCAGTGGTGTTGATGCCTCAAAACCCTGGGGGTGCGCTGAGGAGTTGTCAATGGCAGCTGGGTGGGATGCAGGTCCTGGTCCAGACGTTGGCCATGCTGGCATGCCCCCTTCCAGGGGCACCAGGCAGGACTTCTGACCAACGCTGTCCAGGCCCCAACTCAAAAATCACCCGTGGCCCCATCCACGTGAGCAGCTCCTGCTGTGTGGGAGCTGCTAGGACACCCTGAATTCATGGTACCCAATGTAACTTTGTCCTGGACAAACTGCCTTATGAGCTGTGAGAACACAGATTGGCTTGTGCTTTCTCTGTGTTAGGCTTAGATTTGCCTCCAAGTCCCAGATGTGTTACTATAACTGAGGATGATAACACCCCAACTATATTCAAGCCAGATTCCTAGCTGGCAGGGCAAAGAAAAATGTAACCCAGGGGATTTTCTATTGCAAATGAGCACAGAGTCCTGGCTTCCCACAAGCGTGTGACACACTCTTGCCAAAATGCCTGAAGAGTAAGATGGGAAAAAAATAGCACCCATAAGCTGGAGTAAATAATGGAAAGACAATTTTTATCTGTGGAGCAATGGAGTTTCATTCCTCAGTTGTCAAGGTAGCTGCAGAAGCATTTTTGGGTATTCTTCACCCCTCCATTTCATTATCAGCCAGAGATCACCAGCAAGGCCAGTAAGACTGTTTGTGTCTCACCAGTTTGCATCACTGGCCACATGAACCTAGGAGCACAACCAGACAAGTAGTGTAGAGTTTTTCACTCAAGGATGAGAAGTGTTAAGTTTTGTCTGCTGCAATGCAGAGGAAAACATTTGTGTATCCAAAGCCCTTTTCCTTTCTAAGTCAGCAGGAGCACAGGCACAGTTCAGTGAAGGAGAGAGGGTATCCCTGTTAGCAGTGCAACAGCATCAGAAGCATTGGTCTGATCATACTCAAAGACTGATATTTACCCAAGAGATCCATCAAATTACCTTAATTTCAAGAATGACTGCTTGGAAACCAATATGAAAATGTTTTCCCTGCAGCTTCCTGTCCCTACAGTTTCACTGTTTCTTTCGTGTCTCTCCATAAGTGAAGTGTCATCTACTGTTCTTGATGGGTGTAGAGGAGACAGAAGGAAACCAAAGCATTCAGACACCTTTCTGCTGTTCCCCGACTTTGCACCATCACCAAGCCCAGTAGAAGCAGAGCAGAAAGGCAGGATTCATTTTCCTCCTGCTTTTTGGTCATATGCATTTCTGACCCACTTGTCATTTCAGGGAAGCTCAGCAGGGCATGAGGGTTTTCCTACTTGGTGTGGTTGTTATGTGGCTTGTGTGGAGCTACAGCAGTAGCAACAAAGGCTATTTTTAGCCTAAAGTAGGCCAGGCAGTTCCAGAAGATGTATTAATAGGAGGAGCATTTGAGAACAAAACAAGCAAACAAAAGGAAAAACAAATTGAGAAGTGTAAACAAGAGTAATTTTTTACCAGAAACACTTGCTAAATAGTAAATATGTAGGAACTGCATCCTCTGTCTCAGGGAACGTGACCCCACCACACAGAAAACAGGTGAATGCAGTCTCTCAGCAAAATGTGTTGCCTGCAGAACAATCAAGGTAGCTTGTTTTAGGGACATGCATCTGCAAATTTTATAAATGCAAAGTTCTTCAGCCTGCAGTATGCATTAATTTCCCAAGAAAAGCATCACTCCCTTGGTAGTTTAAACAGATATCAATCTCCTTCTTAGAGATCCTTACACATTTATGTTTTGAATCAGAGTGTAGCTGGTATCCAGAATGTGTTGAAACCGGTTGTCCAACTTGCTGGAAGAATTCATACCCCTGTTTGTAAGTGAAATCTTGTAGGCAGTGTGCGGCTCTCTACAGTAGGCAGAAAAAAAAGAGGCAAGGATGTGTACTATAGGAGAAGGAATCATATTTTGCTGCTAAAAGCAACAAATCTTAGTTTTCAATCAATGATAATTCAGTGGGGTCACAGGTATCTGTCAGCTCCTTTACCTAGTGTTGGAGTTTGAAGACTGGATTGCAGCAATTCAGAAGTCTGTAATTCTTCATGGAAGAATGAGTGCAGCAACATTCATGATGAATGTGTAGTTCTCACATGGACTCACACTGCTAGTTTTTAATGCCTTTTTTTTTTTTTTTTTTTTTTTTTTTTTTTTTTTTTTTTTTTTTTTTTTTTTTTTTTTTTTTTTTTTTTTTTTTTTTTTTAGCTTCTGGTAGTAGTTTATCTTCTTTTTGTCAGAAGTTCCAATACAACATCATACATTCTGACTCTTTTTAAGGAGTAATTTCATTGAAGCCACTTGCAGGACGTGTTCAGTGCTCTTTGCTTGCCTGAGTGTTTGGGTAGATCTAATCCAGAAATCCAGGACAATCTCTGTCACCATAATCATATGTTACTCCATCAAGTATTGTAGTAGGATGCTTACAGTGACAACATAAGTGTTTGCTATATTTAGTGTGCATTTGCCTGCTGCTAATTTTGTGAGGCAGTTTCCTCAAAAAGCAGAAAGAATCAGCACTTTTTGCTTTATTTCTGTAATTGACAAATGCCTCTCTGATGTCCCCATCTGACGTTTTTGCCACAGTAGTATGAATATACACAAAGTTTCAGATAAAGTCACATCAGAGTTTCATCATCATCATCATGGCTAGGCTTCGCTAGTGCATAAGAATTCAACCTAAGGCCTCACTATTATGTGTTCATAGATTTGCCCTGATGCACTTTCCAGTCTGCAAAAGTGTAGACTTTCTGCAAAGCTTTTTGAATACAGATCGACTTCTAAATGTTTCACTGTCCAGAACAGCCACATCTAATTCATGCCCACACCTCCTTATGCGTAGAGCAAGAAGATGACAACATACATTTGCTGCAGCTGTAGGATTTGTGTATAAGGCATAGAGGTGCAAAGTTTGCCACAAATATAACAAAAAATAGCTTCAGGTCTAATTTGGGTATTTTTTTTAGCTGAGTACATTTTGTCTGAGAGCAGTGCATTTACTTAATCATCTTTGCTAAGTGCTTGTCAGGCAGAAATGATGGGTTACCAAGACTAGTCCTGCCTAAAGGATACAGCTCTGCAAAAGCTAAGCGTGTGACAATAATAGCAGGTTAGGTGTCACTCTGGAGAACTGAGGTTGACTGCTACAGAGCTCCCAGTGAATTCATGCTTGGCAGATTCCTTTTCACTATTATTTATTTTCTCCTGATCTTGAAATGACATTACACTCCCCTCATTGCTAGCCAGAGACTTAACCATACCACTGCTTTGGTGTCAGATATTTCTGCTTGAAAATTTAGTACACTTTTTTTTTAAATATCTCAGTTGTAGTCTCAGTAGCAGGGCACACTGCTGTGTGATAGTCACAGAATGGTTGGTTTGAGTTGGACAAGACTATAAAGACCATCTTGTTTCAACCCTGCTGCCATGGACAGGAACACCTAGACCAGATTGCTCAACTGTAGCACTAAAATCTCTTAAAATCTACATTTACACACTTTCCTTAGATAACACATTGAAAGCTCAGTTTCTCTAAGATCTGGGAGGGGCTTTGGTTGACCACCATCACATCCAAGAACTTCCTGAGGGGTTAGGGAGGAAGTGAAACTCCACAGCAGGCACTGGCTAGACTGCAGAGGTGCCGTAAGAGGTGGTTCTGAGCAAACTGATCTAGTGGAGCCTGTCCCTGCACATGGTAGGGGGTTTGGAACTAGATGACCTTTAGAGGCACCTTCCAACCCAAGCCATTCTGTGATTCTATGACTCTTTAAACCTGTCTTCACAGCAACCAGAGCCAGATGCTTCCCATTTCAGCTGTGTGAGCCAAATCTACCCAAGTCAAGCAGCAGCCCAAGCAAGCCTCTCATGATTAATTATGAGTGACCTGTCAAATTTCCAAAGGTCTGAAATAGATCAGGAACACTTTTTGCTGGACTCTGTCAGGCTAACAGGCTCTCAGCCATGACAGTCTGTGGTGGGGTTGCTGCACAGATCTGGGGGAAGAGGTAGTAGCTGAGAGGCATCAAGGATTTCCCTCCACTCATTGCAGATGAGGCACTGCATAGCTAATTAGTTGCAGGAAAAGGTACCATCTGTTATGGCAGTGTAAAATAACAGTATTCCACTTCAGCTTCAGGAAAGACCAGCTTCATAAACAACACCATACCCAAACCTCACATAAAATGGACTCTTTTGGCCAAAATGATGAGAGCTTCTATTTCTCATTAAACACTCTGTAGGCTAAATGCAAAGACCAGATTCTTAACTGAGATCAAAGGATTCAAGCTTAATCCACAAGTTAAAGCCCACAGAAAGGGAATGGAGCACTTTTTATGATGTTACATTACTGCTACAGGTATGAAAATCCTAGCTGCCAGTGACAAGGAAGAAGTCTTCATGATGAAAAAGATTCAGGGAATGTGAACAAAGAGGAGTGTGATTACAATAAGTAACATACTCTTCAACA